ATCTACAGGTCATTCCCAACACAGCTGAAACAGAAAATGAACACATTGAAGTGAAATTTTCAAAGTGACATTTGAATCCCCTCTCTCTGATGAAATCCCACCTATTGATCCAGTCAAATCTCCGCAGCCTCCTCAGGTCCATCCTGAAAGCCTCCTTGACCAGCTTGTTACCAAAATTCTTCAGGTGTGCTGTGACTGTCTTTCAACAGAGGATAGGTGCCAGCTATCAAGTAGAAAAAATGAAAATTCTCAGAGATTAAATCCTAGTCCTGGTGAAAGATATGGCAAAATTCCCATGGAAACCAGTGGCTACATGTATCTTAAGACATTATCTCAAGTCTGAATTGCCATTTGAATACTGACTTCCTGATTTATGCAATGAGTTTGACTTGGAATTAACAAATTCATTGCCCTTTCCCCAGTAGCTTGAGCACTGCAGGGGCTGGCTCACATAGGAGCCATTCCCCTCAGGGTGATGTAATGGGATCCAGCTGGCTTGGGTCAGGCTGCCCTTGCTTCTGGAGACTTTGTGGTTTCATGACTCCCTCTGCTCCCTCTATACTCTCCACCATTTGCTCCTGTCATCCCACTACAAAAAATTTACCTGCTCTGGCCTGCAAAGGAGCCCTGCTATTTCTGGACTGCTGCCTACAAGAACAACTTCAGGTGCTGAGGAAAAACGAATCCTTGTGAAAGAACAAGACTAGGTTCTATGTGGAAAAATATTGTGACTCCCAACTGGAGGTCTGTGGATTTAGATCAATTTTCCTAGCAAAGGTGAATAGCTCTAATCTAAACATAAAAAGGAGTCTGTCATGGTGAGATATGAAAATGTGGGGGTAGCTGTCAGGCTCGAGATTGGTCTTGATGAAGTATAAGTGCTGACAAGCCAATAATGAGCTAAGGCCCATGGTGAGGCTGCAACAAGCTGGGGCCACTTGGCTTGACTAAGTGAAGCCCAAATGCTGGCATCACTGCTGGAGGCAGGACAAGCATAGTCAAAAGGAGCAGAATTTCTTTCTTGGTTTGCAAACAGAGTATCACAGTTCACACGCCTTGCGTGAGGGTACGTGGCAGTGTGTGCTAATGCACATGCCTTGCCTTGGCTTTAAATGGTGTTTGACTATAAGTTAATACCTTTGATGCAGTATTCCTAAAAGGAAGTGTTTGTCAATTTTGCTATAAGCGTTTGAGCACAACAGCCTTAATTCAATGTGTCAGATAAGAGAAAATCTTGTTGGCTTATATTTATGATTTATCACTTCTATCTTAGCACTAGAAATGTTTGGAGAGCAAACTAACTCTTCAGTTTGTGTTTTGATTTGCTTTTTTTTTAATCCATCTAAGCCTTGCCAGGCAAATTCATAATATTTCTATACCACTGCCAAATCTGCTGGAGAATGGGTGGGAAGACGCATCTGGAATGCACTGAGGTGGTATTTTTGATAAGCCACAGCTTATGTGACTTAGGGGAAGGGCAGAGATTTGAAGATAGGCAAGAAACAAAGACAGGCTCATGATGGATAGCTGATGCACAAGCTATTGCATAGGTCAAGGAGAGCCACACCCAGGGGAGCACTATTTCATTTGGCCCTTGGGCATATTCAGGATTCTTGAGCAGAGATTGATAAAAGGACGAGCCTGGACCCTCAAGTGACTAACAGAACCACAGAAAAACAAAGAAACTTGTAATGAATAAAGTGCCAGGATGCAAGCTGTTTGTACCAAGGTGAAAGGGCATAGATCATCTTGGGAATTTGGGTGCTTAAGTGTCTTTGTTTAGGATCCTGTCCAAAATGTCTTTGATGACATGGGCCAGTATGGGTGGAGAGTTGTCTCTTATACCTACAGGTTGGTTAACAAGTCTCCACTATCACCAAAACAAACAGAAGAACTGGTTGTACAGTCTTGGCAATTCTACCACTTGACCATGACTGCTTTTTGAGATCTTATGTGCATGTGGCCAAAGTGGGCAGAAAACTGTTAATCTCAGTTGTTCCATAACATGCTACGTGGTCATTTAGAATGGCTGCCAGAATGGTTGGATTATGCTCCTGTTTTTATAGTAGTGCTGTGCAGTACTGAGAATGAACAGCTTTGTGGAGATAACATTGGTTTCCCTCAGGTGGGATGCTCTCTCCTCTTTCACAGAGGTCACTGGTGTGGCCTCACCTTGAGTCCCTTGTACAGTTTTGGGCACCACAATAAAATAAGCATATAAAGCTATTAGCATCCAAAGGAGAGCTATATATGATGAAGGGTCTGGAGAGGAAGTCATATGAGGAGAGGTTGAGGTCACTTAGTCTACTCAGTCTGGAGAAGAAAAGACTGAGGAGAGACCTCATTGTGGTCTACAGCTTCCTCATGAGGAGTAGCAGAAGGGCAGGCACTGATCTCTTCTCTCTGCTTATCAGTGACAGGACTCAAGAGAATGGCCTGAAGCTGTGTCAGAGAGGAAAAGTTTTTCACTCAGGCAGTGGTTGGGCACTGGAACAGACTCCCCAGGAAAATAGTCACAGCACCAAGCCTGTCTGAGTTCAAGAAGAGTTTGGACAATGCTCTCAGGCACATGGTGTGATTCCTGGGGCTGCCCTGTGCAGGGGTAGGAGTCAGACTTTGATGATCCTTGTGGATCCCTTCAAACTCAGAATATTCTGTGATTCTCTGATTTTGGCCTTGGTAAGTGCACACTGAAGATTTTCCACTTCTCTTGTTTCACCACTTCTCCACCCACTCACAAGTACCAGTAAGTATTTCCCCATGTCTTCACAAGCTGTTACGGGCTCAAACAGCTTCCCAGCACTCTTTGGGAGAAGAGGCAGACAACACAGGGAGCAGTAGAGCTACACTGATTCTTGGGACTGGCAGTAGAGGTATCCAGTTAATGGACTTAGTGAGGGGGCTCAGATTTGCTTGCAGAATCCTGTGTCTCTTCTTGCGATCAAAGCAATTGTGAGAAATTGTGGTTTTCAATTTTTTTTATTTTTTTTTTTTTATATAGGAAAGAGGATGGCTTTGTGCAATGGCTGTTTAAAAATACTTCAAAAGAACTTGAATCAGTCCATGGCTGCACTATATACAAATTTTAAAAAATTGAATTTTGGCAGCCTGTTAAGAGATCTATAAATTAAAAGGATTTCTGATACATTTTGGGGGACTTCATTTCATGTTGACTTTCAGAGTGCTCTCCCAGAGCTGAAAGTCAGCCACCAAACCAGACAGAGCTTCTCACTTTCATTTGCTCTGCTCTGCTGTCACAGGAGTCAGTAGATCTCCTTCAGGAGCACCCATGATCACGGTGGGTCCTGGACCCATGCCAGTTCTGCACCCTTGCCTTTCATTTCTGTTTTGAGAACTTTACAGCAAGAAATAGAAACTGCCCCAAACTTAACAAGAACTACTGCTCTGGGGAGTTAGTTTCTCTCCCTTTTTCTCCATCAGTAGAAACTGATTCCCTCACCCAGTTTGTGCTGCACCTGGGCTGTCCCCATTCTGTGCGCTGATGGCAATGGGTTCAGCTCTATCTGTGATGACCTAAAAATAGCACTCAATTAACATTGCATTTCAAGAATTGGAAAATTTCCCAGAAGTCCATTCTTTTTTTCTTTTTCTGTTTCATTACATTTTACAGTAATAATACACAAGCCTGTAGAAAACATGACGGGTAATGAAAAAATGTAATTAATATAAGCAGTGTAAAGCATTTTTTTTTCCCTCTGTTGTCCTTGCAGAAAATTACTGCTTTAAACTGAGCAGGATGTGAAAATGCATAAAGCAAACAGTAATATGCTGTGGTTTGTAAATATCTTATGCAAAATAGTTAAGTCAACCACTGTTTATTTTTTTTACTTTGTGTCACAAGCTCTTACTTTCTTTTGTTCATTACTTTTTCCATTTGTTCTCTTTTGGGGGCTTGCTCTCTTTCATCTTAGGGAAGCCACTGGCTTAACTATATTTTTTTTCAGCTACAGCTAATTCAATCACACATAGGACAGGCTATTCTGTCTCTTCTCTCCATCTCCTCCTGTTTGCTGGCTCTGAAATGCAAAATATTCTGCAAAAGTGTAGTGAGCCAGATCCTCACTATACAGAGGATCTGCTCTCATTGTTTTGGGCTTAAAAAAAAGGAAAGCACTCACTTATCCTACAAACAAACAAGTAATTATCCCAAATCCTGCAACAGCTTTATGACAAACTAGCATTCCTGCCTGTTACTGTAGGATTCTGCAGTGTTTTTACAAGGCTGCCTGGCCACAGTTCTGGAGCGGGCTGTGAGCAATATGCAAACAACATTAACTAGTATAGCATAGTATATGCCAGCTCTCCTTGGAATATTTCTCTCTGGCTATCTGTAGAACTTGTAATACCCAGTGATATCTGAAGGTCACAGCAGAGTTTCTGAGCTGAAATACAAAACAGCATTCCAAACACATCTTCTGTGGCCAGACAAGAAACTGCTTATGGTTTATTTTCCCTCCCCCCTCTCCACAGCTGACATCCAGCATTAGTTATTGTTTATTTTTGTCTTGTTCCTAGTTCTAAAGGTTTCCCTTATGGCCCTGGTTTATGTGAACTTTCAGATATCACTCGGGGCTTCTCTGCCTCATCCCCTCTGATGTAGCTGGTTCCCCTGTGAAGGTAGGTTTCTCCAGCTGAAGATCTGTTCCTCTCTCCTGTGGCATTCTGTGCAGCCATTTGGAGTCCCAGATGTAGGAAATGAAATAATCCACGCTCATACAGTCATGAAAGTGCCCATCTGGCACACAGGAACATCACGCATTGGAAGCACACAAGCGTGAGCTCACTTTTGTTATGGCATTTCATAAACAGAGATGCAGTGAGCCAGCAAGTAAGGTCCTTTGGATAATAACAATCATCTCCATCACACGTTGTGTTTAAAAAATAGGGAAAGAAAAAAATCAAGACAAACTGGAAAAATTTGCTCTGAGGAAAAATTTCTAGTTATAAATGTTTTTTTCCCAGCAGCCTGCAGTACTTACACCTCTCTGGATCTCTCTGCTCTCTATGTAGATGTAAGACAATGGTGACAGTTGAAATGTAGCCAGTTAACTCTTAGTTAACTCTGAAAGCTCTTCTTCCTCACTGTTCAGTTAAAGAAAGAAAATATTAGATCATACTTAAAAAAGTGAGTTCTGTAATAACGAATTGCATGTTACTGCTTTCTTATCACTACGTAAAACTCATGGAAGCAGTCTAATAAATGACCTCACCACTCAATTTTGAAGTATACAAATTAAAGACAGCAACAGATAAGCCAAGAGAGATTAATGTACAGTGTGTGTGCCTGTATGTGTGTGTTTGCATGCCTCTATGAGGATATACCCATGTGCTATGGACATTCAACCTCTGGAATTATAATTAGGGGAAAAGGCAAATGTGTAAATTCATCTTGCTGGGCAGCATATATATGTTGCACTAGTCTCTGATTAATTCAGTACTTGAACACTATTTACTCCAAGACAAAAGGTTTCTGTTGGTATATGTTGGCTAATAAAGGGGTGGAATATGATGAAACAATGAACAGCCCAAAATGATGGACTAAGTTCAATACCAGTAAGTAAAAAGCAAGGTTATTTATATTATTTTAGCTTCGTAAAGTAATTGAAAAAAGACACCCTAGGCATTTTGTTGGATGTCACTGCATGCTGTAAAGAAATCTTGGGATGTAATAAACTTCTCAAAACCCCCACCATTAGTCCTGCTGACAGTGCTGGATCTTCAGAGGGATTGCTGCTCAAAGGGGTGAGATTTTTAAGGTCAGGAAAGAGCAGAAAGAGGTGTCAGGTCTCCTAAACCATTGCTGGAAAACCATGCTTGTTCCAAACTGGGGGCCTGGGCCTGCTAGGGGCAGGGGCCTGCCACTCCATGGTTTATGAATATTATAAATTACAGGTAATAGTAAAAGAAAATAGCATCCGAAATTTACATGACCCAGTTTTGTATTGTATTTGGCAAACAATAGCTGGTCCAGTATATTTTAAATACTAAGTTGGGAAAACAACAAGATGTTTGTAAATATGATAGACCATTACAATATACCACTTCTCATTTGAAAAGTCATTTGTGCAAGAAATTATTATTGACCTATAATATGTAAATGATTGAAATGCAGAAATTAATATTTGGGTCAACTCATGTATTTTTCAACCATGAAATGAAAAGCTCAGCATTCACATTCCAATTCATACACGAAAGCTTTACAGCACTATTACTAGGCTATTGTATTAATTTATTATTGTCTTAGTTAATGACATACAGAGTTATACCTCTACTTTCAAATGAGGAAAAGGCATTGTATGCCACAGTAATGTTTCAACCCCAAATGACCCTTATTCTGGACTCTTCTTTACTGGTGACAATAAGCCAAATTCAGAGCTGATATGGAAGCAAATAAATAGCATTGTTTGCATTAAAGAGGTTTTGGCTCTAACACACCTTAAAAGTTGCACAGGGAGGACTGTCCCGTGTTGCAGCTCCTCTGTTCCCCCTAGGAACACATGAGTGTGATGCTCCTTATTTACTGCAATTAACTTAAAAATATAAATCAGCACAGGATCAGTGCATTTAGTACTGTGAGGTAGTTGTCTTTATTCTAAGGGGTTTTGTTTCTGCTCCCTCCTACTCTTTCCTCAAGTCAGGGGGAAATCAGTGGGAGTGTGGGGTTTCTAACAGGACTGGTGGGAGTGATCATTCTTCCTGAGGGAGCTGCAACAGGCCCCTCAGCCAAAGGTGATTTTTGTTCCAGTGACTTCAGTGCTCATGAAACATGCCAGCCCAGAGACTCTGGTGCTCTCTTTCTCCCCAGAAGGAGTGTTCCTAGACCTAGAGCAGCAGGTCAACCTTAGTCCATGCTATGCTCTGTCCCTGAGGCAGTACATGACTGTGCTGAGGCACTTCATCAGCCATTCATTGCATAAGTGCTCGGTTGAGGTTGTCAGTAAGGGCCAAGCTGTGCAAGCTAGACCAACAATATGGTTGGATCTTGGATTATTATCCATTACATTTCAACTCCATTGGCTACTAGGTTTAGCTGAATTGAGTCTGAGTTAAGGCCAGACATTCAAATAATTCATTAGTATCCTATCAACTGTGTGCTCCATCTTAATTGCTTTTTATGCAAAAGTAAACAATGCCTTGTTCTTTGTGCCACCAGGTATTGTATCATTTGATGGGTCTATCTCTTTAAAGAGTCGCACAATTTAAATACAAATAAAGGTGTGAGTAAAATCTATGTAGAACAATATTCACGAAAATGAACGAAAGAGAGATGGGCAAAACAATTTAGATAATACTCAAAAGTAAAGCATCACAGCTAAATCAGGATTAACCCAGGGAGCATGATGTATTTCATGAAATGACTTTGGTATAGTCTAGAACTACAATGACTAAAATTAAGAAGAGCAGTATTGCATCAAGGTTGCTCCAGTGTTCAAACATGTCACATACATATTGGGTCATGCCTTAAATAGTGGACTTGATTTCTTTTTTGGTTAAAAATATATATAATTATATTTACATATGTTTTATAGACAAAACATTTTCAAAGTTTATTTTGCATTAAAATATTTTATATTCTAAAAAGAAGTTATTTTAAGCAGCTCTAAATGGCAATAGACCCAGCTCTGCATGGCTTGCAAATTAAGGCAAGATAAGTCACAGTATAAGAGCATGTTTGGGTGGTGAAGAACAAATGTGGTATTCCAGCACTATATAAAACCGTGATGAAGGTGAAGCAGAGGTAGTCGTGGTATTCAGTGATGCACCCACTGCCCACTGGTGTGATTAGGAGACTGCCTACACTGGCCAAGTGTATGGGAGGGGCAACATCCTCTTAGTCCTGCCCAATTAATCATCCTCTGGTTTTCTCAGCCTCTGGTGCAAAAGGCAGACCCAGTTGACTAATTCTGGCAATAGAGGCCCCACTTGTCAACAAGCCCTCCCCCAATAGAGGTGTGATTTAGTTTTAATTTTCTTTTGGCCCATTCATTTATTTGAGGCTAATGGCTGACATGAATCATAGTATTAGGAGGGAGAAGCATCATTTGTACTAGCAACCTAAAAGAGATGGCATGTCCACCAGAGATGGCAGGAGCAGAGAGGGTGCAGTTTCTTGATGCTTGGAACACAGGGGAAGAGGATTGGCAGAGCAACTCATCAAAATACAGTGTCCTGCCTTGCTCATATGGAGGGCAGCATCAGCTGAGAGCACAGCCAAGGTGTAAGCTGAAGAACATGGACTATTTTGCAACGGATTTGTGTGGGAGTTTCAAACTGACAAGTTGATGATTACTGTGGCCCCAACCAAGTGCAGCCTTTGTTTAACTTTACTAGTATGAGTAAGCTAATTGGCATCACTGGGCTTGTATGTGTGCTTAAAAGTTATGGCTGTGCTAAAATGCTTTGGTGGGTCAGGAAATTATGGGTGTTTAGCACCTTGCAGGACACAGCCCGAGGGTCAAGCCTTGCTGTGACCTTCTGCAAAGCAGGGGGGTGCTCTAAGGGCCTGATTTTGCTCAGCCTGTGGTTGCATTGCCCCACGCCCTCCACAGCCACATAATGCTGGGGATTGTCTAAATCACGAAACAACGTCGTACCAGGGCAGCCAAAAACAACAATAAAATTAGCAGGAGCCAGTCCAGCTGACTCTACAAGAAGCTTCAGAGTTTCAAAATTAATCTTAAATTTACCTCTAACCCTGAAAACAAAACTAATTGCAGAATGTAAGACTCCTTGAACATGTTAGGGAACTTGATAGGAATACCTCAGAAAAAAAACAAAACCACTTTAGATAAACCCCCCATTTTAATTGTATCAATTCTGCCAATTAATGATAATGGAAGAGCAGCCCAATTAGCTAAATAGCTAATAGTTTTATCAAGCAGAGGCTGGCAATTTAAAGCAAACAAATTCATTCTAATTTTATCCCCTTGCACACCAAGATGTTTAAAGGATAATGGGGGATCCAATAAAGGATATTGCTCAAATAGAGCTACATTTAAATCGCCTAATGGCTTTAAGAGTTTTACCCCAATTAACAAAGAAGAAACATGAACATTCAGTGACTTGCAGCATAATATCTAAAAATCTTCATTAAAAAAATAACATATTCTCCAACTAAGGGCAGAAAGGAAAACATCACTGACTTTTCCCTTAAAAACACTGATTTCTCCCAAAACAAAGGCTCCTCTGTAACAGTAAAAGTATAAGAGAAAAAGGACTCTCATGTCTAAGCCTCAGTATATAAATCATCTTCAAACTACGCTCATTAGTTTTAACATAACTGTGGATTTGAATAAAGGAGATTGACCTATCTAACATATTTAAGACCAAATCCTACTGTTACCTAAATCTGAAATAAGTTAAGGCTATTGAAGAGAAACAAAAGCCTTTTCAAAATCAATAGCCAGAACAAATTCCCCATGACCATAATTTTGAGGATAAAAAATCCATTAAAGTGATGTCTTTGATTGCTATTAATGAAGCAATCTGGAATAAATCCAGAGTGATCCATATGGATAATCGAATCTCTTATTTTCTCACATTTTACAGATTTGGGCCCTGATTTATGTGACAGTGATGGGCAAAAGGCTCCTTTCCTTTTGACACTGGGCTGCCCAGCCTGGACAGCTGATGGTACAGCCTCTAAAGGGAGTTGGAAGAGCAAAGCACTCCATGCTCAAAGAAAGAATGGCTCAAATAAATAGACTTCCAACCTCTACCACAGATACCCAAATACCTCTCTTTCACTGCCAGTCTTGTGAAGGTTACTGTGGGCTCCAGAAACCACCAAAGTGCTGCTAATTAACTGGCACAAACCTCTCTCCCTCGTATCCCCCTCATCACTCAGAAGTGCTTGTCACTCTCACTGTCCTGCCAGGCTCAAGCAGAGATAGGGATGTCACCCCTGCGGCAGAGGTGGCCACCAGGAAAACCCCAAGTGAAATCTCTGACTGGAGCTTAGCTAGTTTTTGGGGGGAGGTAGAAGGACTCTCTTCACTGTTAAGCTTTTGTTTCCTCTGTCAAACAGGAAGAGAGATTTAGGCTTCTTTCTTTTTTTTTAATAATGTCATGAACCCAGAGGCAATGAACCCCTCTCATTCCTGGAGCTGTGTGGAGTGGGTGCAGAAGGGGCCCTCTTCTTCCTTGTGCCCCCCCAGAATGCCAACCCACCAGCTTTAATGCTCTCTTCCTCTGCCATATTCTTTCCAGACAGGAGATTCCAGTACCTCACCCCTCAGCACCCATTTTATGGCCTCCAGATAAGTCCTAACCAGTCTCTTCATCCACTAGCAGTCTCTCCCTTCCCTGCATGCCCTGCTACCAGTCAGACCACCCCCATGAGCCTTCCCGCCTTCCTCCCTCCCCTTGTGCCTGCATCTCTTCTCCCATCTGGTTGTTGTCTTACCTGGTGCCTTAGTTTCTCCTTGCAAAGCTGCCCTTTCCTATTTCGATTTCCTTGAGCTGGCTGAAAATTTGCCACTTATCCGAATTTTTGAAATTTCCATCAGAAGACCAGTAGTGCTAGAAAGGAATACAAAGTTTTCATTTGTGACTGCTTCTTTTTGTCCACCTCCTTCACCTTCCCTTGAAGTCAGAATTGCCTGTGGTCTGGAAACTGTCCATGCCACAAGGCCAGGACTTGGCCCCTCATCTCCGAGCAACAGTGCTTCAGTCAGAATGCAATAAAGTACTTGTATTATATGAACTGGTAGGGATTGATTTTTATTTGAAACCAAATTTTAGGTTTCAAGCAAGAACAAAAAAGTTAGACAGCAGGTCAATACACTTTGTATGGGTATCACAATACTTCAGAAAGATTCTGAACCTTCTCACCTTTATTATGATCCTAAACTATCTTTGAGTACAATTTAATTTCACAGGCATAACAGCTCCTTTTCCTTCTAATTTCCTGACTGCACACTGAAGGTGAAAGCTCAGGGGTTTAATTTTTTTATATACCTTTATCCAAAGCAGACTCAAGAAGGTCTTTAGAAGTCTGATCTCTACATACATGTTCTACTAACAGAACCATCTGCCTCTCAAACAGCTGAAATCATACACAAAAGCTTTCACACCAGCTTCCCAACTGATAGTCTCTTGTTGCTCCTACTCCTGCAATTCTTTTCTTCATTTAGTTGCCACTAAAAGCTATGCAACTCCAAGCCAATGCTCCTCATTGCCCACAGCCCTGAATAGTTTTCCTCAAATCCTTTAATGGGCTTCAATCTGAGAGGTGAAAATAGACGCTATATCATGAGCTTTTTGGAATTTGTGCAGACACAGTAGCTCTGGACACACCTGTGAAATGTTAAGACAATTGTTAGGAAAATTGGGAGAATTCAAGGAGTTGAACCAGCAGTGGCAACTTCAACATTCTCTACCGGTGATGGGCAACAATTCATTACCAACATTTGCCCTTGTAGATGGGTGTTTCTAACAGCAAACGTGCTAAGCCCTGGCATTTGTAGGATAGTTTGGAGATTGTGGAGCAGGCTCCAGGAAGCTTACCAGTGCCAGCACAGCCCAGCCAGGTGACCATCTACAATGACTACAGGAATTTTACCACCAGAGGAGAACAGATTCTGCTCCTAGTTACAGTGATTTAAGCTGACAGAACTACTACTACTAAAGCAAATAGAACTACTGTGACTAACTCAGGTACAGAAATAATTTGCTCCAAAGCTCCTAGAACACGTTAGGCTGTGATGAACAGATATAACTACAGATATAACTAGCTCACTATGTTGGGTAAAAGCAAAAGAAAGACACAAACCTTTTATGATGTTCTACCCATTAAAAAGAAACCTGAACACACAGCTTATTTTTATAAATAAATGTGTAACCTGAAGAACAGTTGCACATACTCATTTGCATAGGATTTGGTATACATCTGTAATCTTCAGCAGATTGCTCCAAACTTTGTGTATTTCATATAATTAATGTCAATATGCTTGGCTTATTTGTTATAAAAGAAAAGGGCTTCTAATTAGCCTTTTTGATGTGCAAAACTTCAGCATTTCTCTCTAGTGTTTTCCAGATCAGGTTCCTTATTTTATACTACTACGTGAGCTTTATGCACCACTTCAGACTAACTCTGAAGATAGTTTAAATTGCGCACACATGATAACTAGGCCTTGACCCAGCCTTCACCATGGGGTGAGGTCCACCTACTACGAGCAATGTTAGAAGTCCACATAATACAAACTGGCCTTGTGACAAGTCAAACATTCCAATTTCCTGTCAAATTCAACCAACACTTTGCATATTTCCCTTTAAAATAGTGACACATACAATCTATTTTTCAACCAAAGCAAACTCGACTTGTCTTCACTGAACCTCAGGAGAGTCTTTGAGAAGAACAAAACCTTCACAGCAGTGACATTCGGAGGCTTATCACAACACACCAGGGACACAAGTAAATCTCAAGCAGTAAAAAAGAGTACAACTGTGGTGAGCTGCCTAGATGTAGCAATAAAGAAGGTCAAGGTGAGCAGTTTTTATACCAGTCAACCCTGCAGAAAGGCCAGACAAATTAAGAAGTTTTTGACAAGCCAAAGGATTGGTTCTAGCAGCAGCAAGTAGCAGGAGGGTGGAAAGCTGAGTGTACAGACTTCTGTCTTACTCATGTCTTACTCCTCTTTTCCTTGGGAGACACTCAGCACTGAATTTACATTTAAGTAAAACCATGGTACAAGACTGACTGGACGCCTGCTGGAAGCAATTGGAATATTTTTCTTTTACTTTGGGTCTTGGATTAAGCTCTAAAGGAGATCAGAGCTAGACCTGATCTGTGGAGGTATACAGGAAAAAAAAAAATTGTGCTTCTCTATTAAATTGGACATCCAAAGTGCTTTATTGAATGTTGAAATGAGACGTGAGATTCCATGAGAAGCTCAGGTTGCTTTTCTTTCTCATGTAGCTTTCATTTAACCCAAAGAGGCTTATTTTCCATATCATGGGGCCCTTCATCCCAAGCAATAAATATAGTATCTTCCCTAGAAGCTTTATAGCCTTGGCAAGAGAGTGTACATTGACACTGTTGGTTGATTTGTTAATTCAAATAAGAATAGCACATTTCTAAAACTTTGGCCAAATTAACATCTTTTTGGCTGTTCCAATGAGCTAATATTGTTGTAGAAACCTGGAAGCAGCAGTCAAGTCTTTGATGATTTATATAGTGGGAGTCATCTAGTAGCTAATTGTCTGCAATTTTTAACCTTACTCACGTGCCCTGCTGATTCTTCCAGCATCTGCAGTTTTCTCCTTAAGCTTTCTGACATCTCTGTATGTAACATTTCCAGACGGCAGCTCAACTTTATCACAAATATTTTTATGAACTTGCCAAACCACATCCAAGATCTTCAGACTCAAAAGTGAAAGATAAAATCATCCTCGGAGGGCACCTCACCCTTCTGCATCCAGGCAAATGAAAAAAACCCCAGCTTTAGGCTCTGACATTTTACATTTATGATGAGTCACAGGTTAGGGTTTTTTGAGTGGTTTTTTTTGGTTTGGTTTGGTTTGGTTTTTTTGTGTTGAAATTTTTACCTTTTCCTTCTTCTCCTGGATTTCTCACTTTTGATCCATATAAAAAGAGAGAAAATACTGGTGAGCCATGTACAAGAACCATCCACGTTTTCTGTTTGCACTTCAGATCTTACCATCTCTGTAGTGCTGGCCCCAGTGAAATGCATGCCTGTCAGTCACTGCTGATGTACCACAGGAGGAATGAGTGATGACCAGGCAGGGAAGTTCTGGCTGGGAGTGCAGAAGACTTTTGAACCATATTGGCAGTATCTTAACAGAGACCACAATTAACCAAAATGCACTAGACATTTGATGGCTGTAACCTAGATCTTACCTAGGAAAGTTCAAAGAATAATCTGATTCACTGTGTGGTTCTGTTCCCACCATGTTTTATGGGTTGTCCTGATGTCTGTCAGGTCATAAAAATACATTTCTAGTCACATTTCTGGTTAATCTCATGTGATTCTTCATGAAATAAAAAGTTCTTCCTGTTCTTTTTCTGCCTTCAATTATTCCAGTGCAATTCATGACTCAGCAATTGTCACATGTCCATTTTGGGGTGGTTTCATACCATGAGTAAATGAAGGCCTCTTTATGCCTGGTTTCTGTCTCCTATCTGTATGTTTATGAAGAAGCCTGTGTCCCTGAGGAGATGGAAGACAGTCTATTCGTGCAATATTATTACCATCCTCTACTATGATCCATGCCTGTGGGAAGATATTTTTAAAAATAATAAGTTCTATTTTGCTAATGTAGCCATTGTTTAAATGTAAAATATAATTAGAGTATCCACCCAGGGTGTATGCTGTTGTGTAATTTCATAACACTACATCTAGATGAGTGTTGGCATTCTACCTATGTACTTAACCACACCCAGGAATGCTGGTATTACACAATTACACACATCCTGTTGACTAATTACATAATAATTAGTATTTTTAATACTCAAAGATGCACTCCAATCAGTTATGCAAGATTTTATGTCATTGCAAATTAAAGACAAAATATACCATATATGTAGCCAACAATACTGTACAGACAGCTTACTGAGCCTGGACTGAGCTTCCAGCAGACAGCACATAATACTTCATACTCAATTTTAAAAATGTATGACATTTTAAACACATTTGGCAGACCCTCCCTTCCCCACTGTTACTTTGGGTTACACCTGTTTTTAAAACTGTTGAAGTAATTTTGTATTCAACACAGAATTTCTGTAGTCTGCCTGCTTCTGAGTTATCATGACCAGAGATAATTTGCAGCTGGAAAAGCACTGTGATGTGCCTGGGGAAGGAAGATTGTTCTTTTCAATGGCAACTCTGGAAGGAATCTGGAAAATGCACTTAAAGTTACCAATTACCTACAAAAATATCCCTGTTGTTTTAAGAAAGCACTAATGGTAACCCTCGCCACTTGGATTTGGAACGGATTTTCCAGAAGCTTGAGTGGAGTGTCTTGATCTGGGCTGTTGGTTCTCCTGATGTTGATGAGAGGCCAGATGCAAAGCCTGTCTCACCACTTGGATTTGGGAGCTTTAAGATCATAGACTTTTGTCTATGCAACCTTGTCTCACATGTACTTAAAAAAAATGTGTGTAATGTAACTTCTAAATTTGCTGTATTCTTAATTCAGTGAAAATTCAGAGAAGGTGGCACAGCAGCTGAGCCCTGGGTCTTGTCTAGGGCGTAGTTTTATTAGCTGCTATGCACCAAGTGGATAGTATATGATGTTTCAGTAGTATTTCTGGCCTGCCACTGATAGTTCATCTGGAGTCCTCAGTTGTGGACAAAGATCTTTATGATAGAAAAGATGGAAAATATGGACTGTGTTCCCACCTCCAACTATGTGTTTGTGAGGCAACAGTAAAGAGCAACAAACCTTTTGCAATAGCTAATTTTTTTTCTTTTCATGAATTTGATTTTTAACTTTCCAGTTACTGTGGCAGCAAATGATTTTTCAAGACATTGAAAACAAACTTCTCACCAGGAGT